GTTTCTCCAGGACTGTCTGGGTGTGCCTAGAGGAAAGCAGCAGCTTTGAATTCCTTAAAGGTGGGAACAAAGATCCCTTTCATGGAGGACATCTCTTCCCCTTGCTGTGTTTCGTTAAAGCCAAGGAGACGCGACAGGGATATTTTCTGCTCTCTGTTGTAATTCGTGTTCCTCTCTGTAGGTCCTGGGTACCAAGGAAGCAGCAATCAGGAATGCAAGATTTGGCAGTGCTTATGAAGATTCACTGGGTTTGCAGCATTTTGGTTGAGTGCATTTCAGTGCAGTGTGTCTCTCACAGCCAGTGGCTCTCCAAGTGGAGCTCGTGTCAGCAGGACTAACATTTTTCTTCACTCTCTCTGACACTAATTCAGTGAGGGCGGGACACACTCAGCTTGTGACAGCTCATACTGACAGGATTGTAGTTCAGATCCAACTGTTGGTCTGCATGCTGCCCCAGCCACACCTGCATGACTTCCCCTGACTACCATTTAATCATGTGTGCTTCAGCAGAAGGAGAGTTTGTCCTGCAGGTTCTTCAGTACATTTGGGATGCACTTGGCACGATGTGCTTAGCTTTGGTGTACAAGTCCCAGGTGAGTTTACTCACCCGGGATAAGAAATTTGAGAATCAGAAGTCCCATGGAGTTGCATTGCCTTTTTAGAAAGAGACTTTTCTGGAGCAGAGCTGCAGTCCATGAATTCCACTGGAGACTGATAGATTAAAAACAAACTTACAAAATTGCATTAGTATTAGAAAAACACATTTCTCTGCACTTCATGGTTTGTGGAGCTGGAATGTTTTGTCTTGATTTCATGTTAGTTTTTCTTGGTACCTTTACATACAAAATATGTATCTTCCTTTGTAATGGCCACTCCTGTTTAGTTTTAGGTAGTTCTTACTCCCTAACTGGAAGTTTGTGTTTAGGCTGTTACATCTTGCCTTAACTGGAATAAAATGTTGTCACATTTGAACAAATGCTCTGAAGAATATTTGTAACTGAGTGCTAAACCTCTGTGGATCCTTGACGTGGTAGTTTTCAGGCTCACATGCAGAAATCCTGTCACTGCCACACGTAGTGTGTGGAGCAGGTGAAACGAAATGAGAACTGAGTAGAAATAGACTGAGAAATGAAATCACCGGTTTGCATTTGTAGTCATGTTTTAATGCACACACTGCTTCAGAGCTCTGCAGGGTTCCCATGAAAATTTCTCGAGTGTTTCTGTCCCAAGACCTTTTGCAAGCTGTTTCCTCATCCAGGCTGCTGGAAGATTTTAGTGCTGTGCATGATTTCAAAGCAGTAGCTGCATGTTGTTTCGCAGCTTTCCCAGGTACTGTCAGCGTCTCTCCTCCCCCTCCAGGCACTATGTGCCTTCATGCCTGAAACTCGGAGACTTTGTCCAGAAAATACGAAGAATCTTCTGACTTGGTCAGCAGTGTTATGGTTCAAACTCATGTTTCTCAGTCACACTTGAGTTTTTTCGTCCAGGTTTCAACAACTTTCTTGTTTTGGTTTTTTTTGGTAGTAGATCATATGAACTGGAAAATACTTACTTTTTTCTCCATCTCAGTCCAGTGAGGAACTTTTTAGTCCAAAGACAAAGAAGTTGACTGGACAGACAATGGCTGTAAGTGACTGGAGCATTAACATATCTGTCGTGGTTCTGAGGGTAGTTTGCAGCTTCATAGGTGAGTGAGCTCCCAACTGACTTTTCACATGCTTTGAGATGTGCAGGTGCTTACACCAGCTCAGTGCCACAACGTGATGCTGTGTGCAGGAGTCTCAGGGCACCAAGCTTCAACACTGGTGAAGTGATTTATGCATGCTGATAGATCAGGAATTACATTTCGCTTCCAAGGTTTGCCGTGGGAAGGAGAATGACAGAGTCCATGAACTACAGTGAAAACCCCACACAACAAAACAAGGTTTGTGCTGGATGCACGTGCAGCTCCCCTGAAATCAGCAGGGCCTGAGCAGTGTTGCGCTGGTTGGAATCTCTGGTTAGAGGAGTTAGGTTGTCAGTGGTACTGAGAACGTGAAATAATCCCCAATAACGAGTGTATCAGTCTGCACCACTGCCCAGGGACCACATGTGTAAGGCATTGTCACCTCGTTTTGTGCACCAAATGCAGACCTGCCTTCTGCTGGGGCTCGAGTGCTCTGCTAACGGGGCTGATAACACCCAGGCTGTGCCTCTGTGCTCCCCAGCTAAAATAGCTCCAGTAATGTAACTGCACTACAGAGAATGTTCAGGTTTTGGAAATCAGGTATGTATAGTCCATTTCTGCATAGTAATTTCTGTCTTTATATCAGTTTCTCAAGTCTTTCGGATGCAATTGTTTTATTCTGTGCTTTGTAACTATTGGCAAGCTGACAATACCTTTAGAGCTTTTCTCCTCCTTTTGCACCATGCTCTGCATTGTGCTTGTCCTGGGATCAGTACAGCACAGAATGTGGAATTGGGAAAGTGTCTTTAAAATAGTATTTTAATTTTTTTTTCTACTGTAGTTCTTTGGAACAAATAAGATGTTTGCATTGGTGGCCTTTGAGCTTCTGGGTGCTGCCACTTCATTTAGGGATCCCAGACAGACTGGGAGTAACAGTCTCTTCATGAGACTCATTGCAGGACAACATTTTTCTGAGTGATCCAACCAAATGGCTTGAAGGGAAGGAGCTATAGACCAAAGCTGGCAATATCAGATGTTAAAGTAAGTGATGCAGTAAGAAACAAAACTGTCATATTGGATCAGAGGTTTACAGCTCTAGAAGTGTACATTTCACAGCAGAAATGATCTGTAAGATACTCCATTTGTATACCTGATTTTGTGGGGACTTGGGTGTCACCTTTGAGCATAGGCACACAAAATCCTTGGGGGAACTACATTATATGAAAAAATACAAGCATTTTCCTTTTTTTTTTTACCAGTTGAGCTGGGAATCCTCAATGGAAGCTGCAAGAAGCAATACCCATTGTGTAAGCCTAATACAGTCCTTGAAGGTGGCTGCACATGAGCAGACTGTTCTGGAGAGAGAGACATAAGCAAGTTGAGCTTCTGAAGGCAGGTTTTAGGAAGCCTCCCAGAACCGCCTGGTTGTGGGTGCTGCAGTTGCAGCACATCTAGAGCTTGCATCACATACTTAAAACTCAAAGGCATGCAAAGGTTATGAAACATCTCCCTCAAAGAGGGAAACCAGTGCTGTATGCAGAGGCACTTCTGTGTTCTCAACCAGGAGAGCAATGCCCTTGAATCTGGAGAGCTCGGATGAGGCCTGCAGAAGGCAGGCACTAAGGCAGTAGATGGAGATTTTTTTCACAGTTATCTTTCACTGTGCTTTCAGGCCAATGAATATTTTCCACTATTAAGACTAACGTAACAGAGGGAAAAATGATGTAGGTAGAAGATTTGTTGACATGACTGCAGTGATTATTAGCTGTTACCTCACTGCTCTTGACATCCTGGTGTGGATTGAGAGCCCTTTGTTTCTGTAAGTTTGTACATATATGAGAGGGTTTTTGTTGTGGCTTTGTTGTCTGATGATTGGGGTTGTTTTTGTGGAAGGAAATAGCTGTCTGGTCCAACACCAGGACTTACTGTGGTGTGAAACTCACTTTTAATTGTTGTATATTGAAATGTCAAGAGTTAAGCCCTTCCCTGTCAAAGTTTACTTTCCCAGCGCTAGCATCTCTGTGCAGCATTTCACTCTGCAGGACTCATCTTAGGTGACAGTATTGATAGGGAAGGAAGCCTTTTTCCTCAACATCTAATGTGTCCCTGTTCGTGTTGATGGTGTTGATAAGGGATGACTGCTCATCCCTCTGAAGTGGCACAGAGTTGTCCCAGTTGAAGTATCTAGTTGAACCACAAGCAATTTGAAGAGTCTTGAACTGATTCTGTCTTTTCTAACTGGAGAAGTTAGATATTGATCAGCTTAAGGGAGAGTATAATGATTTTAAATACAAATCTGCAATAGCACTTCCTTTGCTTTAAAAGTAACTTTTTATTTCTCGTTTCCATTGGTCTCTAGCAGATTTGCTGAGGTCTAGATAGGTTTAACACTGATTTATTGTTTTAATAACGGATTGAAATCAAACTGGTGCAACTGCCCCAAGTCAGAGTTTGACTGCAGCAAGGCAAACCCTCCTGCACGAAAATGTTTTGTTAGAGTCCTGTTTCTAACAGTTTGGATTGAGCAATTCCCTGCCAATATAAGCATTATCGATATAAACCAACCAGTGAGCATCTTTCAATTAACAAGTGCATTTATTACCATCTTGTATAAGTAAGAACAGTTTTGTGCATGGATTGGATATGTTGCTTGCCATGGTTCAGCTCAGACTGGTGCAGGATGAATAAACACAACCAATATTCAGTTCCTGAAAAACAGTTCACACATAAATGGCTCTGGAAAAGCTAGTTTCAGTTTCAGCCAACCCAAATGATCCCTGAGTTTCCATAACTTTTCTCATGTATTCCTTAATATACTTTCAAGTACTGCAGGTTAGTGTGTGAGAAGGACTTTGTAAAACCAAGGAATTACATCTGCTTACTGACGTAACCTGTCCTATAGCTTAGTAATGGACCTGGTAACATTGACCCTCCTGAAAACAACTTTATTTGCCCACTTTCTGTTTCAAACCCAAAGGTCATGCACTGGCTTGCCTTAAGGCAATATGCTATAGACTGGTAGCTGGTCCCTCATCTTCTCGCTGCTGATGCACTCACAGGAAGCATAAGAGGGCTCAGGGAGCAGGGATTTATTTTTTTTGCACTGTGAGACATATATAGTGGCTTACAGGATTTGCCTACTGCACACCTTGGCTGGCAGCTCCAACCTGCCAAGGAGGATGAAGCCTCAGCATCTGCCCTGCTTAGATCTGGCCATTTTTGGCTGAAGGAATATTCTCTTTCGGTTTTATTTCTTAGGAAGTGTTTGAAGTCTTTGTCAGTCTGTCTGCACCTCACTGCTCCCAGGTGCTGCTACTTGCTGGCTCGTCCTGCTTCAGGCTACCAAGTACTTGGGTTCATCAGGACGGAGTTTCATGATCTTGTCCATGCAGAGCAGGATGAGAGTCAAAAACCAGAGGCTCCAGCCGACGGCCGCTGCAATCCACCCATAGTCGTCCATGCCTGTGGGGCAGCACGTGGCTGCCTGCCTGCAGAAGTTCACGTCTGGTGGAGAAGAAATGAAGTGAGCTGATGGGAGCCCAAGCCTGTAATAGGTATCCTTTGCAGGAGGGCACATGAGACAGTGATTTCATTGTCTGCCCTGTGGCCTGTGACTGCCTTGGCATCTTTCCCCCAGGCCAGGCTCTGATCCTGCGTGTGGGAACATTCAGGTCCAGCTGTGTGTCTGCCATCGATCGTCCCTGTCCGGCCAAACACCTGAGTGGCTCCTCATACCACTGTGCCCACCGTTATGGAAATCTTTATAGTTAGCACCTCCTCAGTCAGTTTTAGGACTGTGAGAGAAGCAGCTAGCTAAACTAAAAAAAACCACCCTGAGGCAGAGAAACCCTCATGTGAGAGAGCAAAAGATCCCTCACAGAGACATCTTCAGC